GGGCAACATTGACAGTGGGAAAAAATGGCATCTACTGAATTTTTCTTTCCTTTTTTTTTTTTTTTTTTTTTTTGGTAACAATCTTCCGCTTAAACATTTGAGTTGCTTTACGGATCTTTGAGTCTCAGCCCAGAGAGTTTGGGGTGAAAGTTGTGTCAAAAGAAGAGAAACTGGGATCCAGATTGCTTAGGCAACATGGTCTGTCATGGTAGTATCCATTTCAACTCCACTGACTTCTTCCTTCCTCTTCCGTGGCTGTTCTTCCTCTCTCATTGCTCTCTCTGGGGACTTCCATGCAGGACATCCCCGGATTAGGTGACGACGGTTATGGAACAAAGACTCTGAGTAAGTTCCCAGGAATGGTCACTGTAACTTTTCTTTTCTTTTCCCTTCCTTTTGAGTTTGGCTTTTGTTCCTTTTCTTGAGGGCCTTTCACTCCTAGCATGCACAAGATACGAGTTTTCTTTGTTACCTAGCTGTGAATGCTCCTACAAAGTAATTTTCAACCGTTTTGTTCTGCATGTCAGCATTGAAAAGCAAAGTGTGTCAGGCACTGTAACTTCTGTTGCAGTTCAACCTTCCCTTTCTGATCGTGTGATATGACCAACATGGTCTTGATTCCATCTGTGGCATCACTTGCTCTGCTGCCTTACACCTCCCAGAGAGCAAGAAACCATGTTGAATGAAAGGGCGAGCTAAATGTTCTAGAAAAGGAAAGCAGAAATATACTTTACGTCCCTTCTTCTGCCTTTTCACCCAGACCTTGCCAAATTCCATAATTGGGTTGTACGTTGCTATTAGTAAAGGAGCTATTTTATAGTCAAAAGGAACATGCATTCTCAAAAAGTTAATACTAAGCTATTTGATCTTCCATGAATAATTCTCTGCTATTAACTTTGAATGATTTTTTTCTGACTTGCAGTGGTCCTGCTTGAAACGTTTGTATGATAAAGGTTTAGATATGTATTAATATGTTTTTTCTATTAGTGATGTATTAGCTGCATTACATAATCAAGTCTTCATTTTATAGAGGAAAATAAAATACATTAAACCTTTAAATCTTCTAGTTATTAATGCCTTTAGTCTGTGTCTCATTGCACTGAGCAATAAATATAATAATATAATATAATAATCCTGTGTATTAATGTACTATGCTATGACTTTTCTTTCTTTAATACTAACTCCATTGTGTAGGCACCAGTGAAATAAGAACAGTGTTTTGTGTCTTTTGCAATTGTATCACATGTTCAATTTTTTTGTTTTGTTTTGTTTTAACAGCTATGGGCAATATTTTTAGAAGCTGTTCATTTCATTTGTATAAAACAAAATAGCATTGAGCTGAACTTTGTTTTCAAGAGCTGTTTACGTAACCCTGCGTAATGATACCCTCATCTTTCAAATTGTTACTTTGAATTTTCTTTTAAAGATATGTATATATAGAAAACAAAATCTAATCAAGAGTAACTACTGGTCTCCTTAAAGATGAAAACTTTATCTTTGGGTATCTATATGGAATAGGTTATGAAATTTTTCTGAAATTAGCAGCTGAAGTTCAAATATTGATTTCAACATTATCTGAACAGCATCAAGTACCACCAGAGAGTTTCTAAATTTTCAACTGAGAGGGAAAAGGAAAGCATTCTAATATATTGCTAATATGTGAGCTTCACTAAAAATAGTTGCTGTTAGAATGTCAAAAATATGGCTGAAGCCTTATGCAAATGTTTTCTTACTCTTTAAAAATTGAACAGATTTCACTAGGTAAGGTCATTTGCCAATTCATGTTATTGTTAGCTATAATTTGGACCTTAGCTAGAACATATCTTCAATTTCTTTTTACCTACAAAATGGAAAAAATTCTGTTATACAATATCTTGATGCTAAGATTCGTTGTTAAATAAAACACTGTATAGTCCTAAATTTCTCCACAGACAGTGTAGCTTTGTTCTAAATTATTTTAAAAGTAGAAATCAAAAGCAAGCAAAACCCTGTCATCCCCAGTTCAGTATAATCATGTACATAAAGACAAACATTGTTAGGTGTATGCCTGGACTTTCTTTTCTGTAACAGAAAACGAATTTGCACTGATTCATCTACACTTCTTTCCTTTGTGCCCCTCTTCTCTTGTAAATGTGTGCCTAAATTAGTAACGCAGTTCTGGTCACATGCCAACACAAAGAGAAACCATTCATGTGAACTTAACCCATGCTTTGGTTTTCATTAGTTTCATGCTCTAAAACTAATTCATCCCTAATAAGTAAATTAACTTGATTGTGGGAATCCTTTCACAATGTATATACATGTATCAAACCATCACATTGTACACTTTCAATGTATTACGATTTTATTTGTCAATTATATCTCAATAGAGTTTAAAAAAAGAAAACTAACTTGACCAATTGGCAAGTCTTAAATACATTTTAAAGCATATTTTTACTGTTAGAGAAAATGGTTATACATTCTTTTTCTTTTTCTAAAAATGTACAATAGTTGTCACTTTTTAAAAAGCTGAAGTTATTGCTAATGAGCTTCAGAAATCAAATAGTCACATAGTCTTCATTTAATTAACCCGATACATGAAGAGGTCGATTAGTTGATGAATTTATCTACAACTTAATACACAATACAGAAGAAAGGATATGATTTTGGAAATAAAAGCTCTAATTCTGGCATATCCATCTCTGTTATGTGAGCTAAACTGTGTTTTCATAAAAAATAGTTTAAAATATTATACAAGCAAGTCATTCAACATGAATTAAAAACATACTTCATGCCAGGACCTGCTTGGTATCAGGCCTTTTATCTCTTGTCTGTACCATTCTTCCAGCATCTAATAGCTACCCAAGCAAGAATCTTAAAAAAAAAAAAAAAAAGGAAATATTGAACTGATTCATAAAAAGCTTTTCAGTGACTCATTTCTTCTGTCAAGATTTTCTACTCACTCACTAAAGCAGAAAAGATCTCCAACAATCTTTTTTCATTTTGAGAATTAGTTTAGGAAATATTTAAATTAAAATAAAATTCAAGGGATTCCAGGGATTGGTTGCAATTTGAAAAAGCAATATTCGTACAAAATATCTAAAGGCTAAAACAGAGAAACAAAAAGCCTGTAAGAAAACTGCCAATTTAGAAGCTCCTAAATTCATAGTCAAGAAACATCCAGCTGAGATGCACACTGACCTAAGTAACATAAATCTGGAAAATCAGACCTATAAAAATGGGTCAAAGTGTTTATAAAAAGAAAAGTGCTTAATTGACATACATTTTTTGTAAAGATGCTTTCCTAAAAAGAAGACACAGCAATCAAGTAGTAGTTTCCTACAAAATGGAGATAAAGTTTTCATCTTTTTTATCTTATCTGCGTTTTCTTAGTGCAGTTTTCCCTGCAGACTTTTACTTGCCTTTTGCTCACATTTCTAGTAGCCTTGCATGAGTGTATTCCTTTAAGTTCTGGCTGCTCGCCAATGCTTGGTATCTCTTTAATTTGCTGTGCTGTTCTTGCAGAACATGTTTCTTCTAATGCCAGCGATAGCGAAAGTAGCTACCGTAAGTTATTGCTTTGGTTTGTGGTTCTTTTCTTTGCAATTGCCCCATTGCCTGTAATGGTCATTTCGAATTTTTGCTATTGTTTTTTGATCACTGCCCTTTATCATCTTCATGCAAAGCAAATGGCTTGAAGTGAAATCACCAATTGATGTGGAAAGATACAAAAGACACTAGGGCCACGGGCGGACTCTTATGCAAGCAGTCCCAATCTCAGTTGACTGTGGCCTGTGATGCAGTTCTCTCAGAGAGGGTGGCGCGGGGGCGAGGGGCGGGGCAGTGGGGGGGCTAGTTCAACCAGGTGGATTTTGACATTCAGCCCTCTAAAATGATTGAAACTCCCTGCAGGAGGGTTGAGAAGTCATGGTTTTGTTTTCTTCCTCATTTGGCCTTTTTTTTCTCCTCTTGGCTCCCCTTTACAAGAGAAATCTTTATAAATGATAGTGTTCCTTTTAAATCGACCATGAACCTTTTATATCTCTTCTCTCCTTGATTAATATTTTAAGATAGATACTATGATATATCTAACTATATTTTTGATGGTTGGGAAGTGATGAAAAAGTTTCATCCTTTAATGTTGAAGGAACTCACTATTTTTTTAAGTGAACAAATCTTGGGTCAGAAAGCTTAGCTGAAAAGGTAGGTAACTACTCAAAATTTATTTCTGGTCTTTGTTTGGTCACCTCAAGCCATTTGTTTAGTGTATAAAAATATTCACCAAATACCGATCACATCCTTTTTGATCCATTTATGTGGTTTCTTACCACTTACTTACTGGTTTTTGGTGACTAACATAGGTACATATTATTACTGGGATTTTTACAATTTCTATAATATTTATTTGTACTCCTTAGTGAAATGGATTACTCAAAAAGCAGTTGCCAAGAATATTATAAAACAGGCCCAATACATATGACCCGCAGCTACCAAGACAGAAATCAGTCAGGTTTTTTTTCCTTAAATATTGTATTAATTTAAAACTAGAATAGTTTTTGTTTGTTTTAGTTTTGATTTTTTTTCTCTTACAGCATGGTACTTTACAAGACCATGCATTTTTGAGGGGGCATGCCAACTAGTTTTCTTGAAGTATGACAAACTTAGTTTGGATTCTAATATAGGCTTTGGAAAATCAGATGGCTGATAAATAGAAAAAAAGCACAAAAGAGGAAAGGTGGCAGAGAGAGGTCAGGGCCAGAGGAGGAAGATGAAACACACTACAGAATAAAATGAAAAGAATAAAATGAAAAGAATTGAAAAGAAATGAGATACCCTTGAGCCATTAAATATTAGAACCACCTAATTTTCTTCCTGAACAGAATGTCAAGTCTTATTAATGAAAGACTCAAAGGGTTCTCATCCTCAGTGTGGTCTTTAACATTTTTACATTCTTTCTATTCGTATTTGACAATTATCCAAACTTGGAGAAACATTAGTCTCATCTGCATACTCATTTGATTTAAAAAAAAAAAATTAGGCCAAGAAGAAGTGACCAAAGCATATGTTCCTGACAGCTAAGGTACCCTCAGTTTAGTATAAGGAAAATATAAATTGTTTGTTGGGTTCCATGGAGACCAATGGCCCTCCTTTCTCTGAAGTTCAATTTTCAATTTTTAAGGTTGTCCTTCCATCCTATAGACACAGATATAGAAAAGAGAAATGTCATGCTTTGTTTTTTCAATCCTTTTTATGGAAAGTTTATGTAAGAACTACCATTTCCTTTGGAAATATTCTTGAGAGTATTTTAGAGGACCCCCCTTTTCTCTTTCAGAGAAGAGAATGTTCTTCCCAGAATCATTAGGTTA